CCGATGGCCTGCTGCTGCTGCTTTCGCTGCTTTTGCTCTTTTTGGAGGCGACAAAGGCCATCGAGGCGAGGCGCTGGCAAGCACACTGGCAAGCTGGTTGAGCTTATCTCCAAATAACCGATGCATAGGGCGGGTGCAGCGGCGCGCGAGGATCCATTTCCAGCGGACAAAACGTGTGACAGTTTCTGTGACAGGTCCACTCCCGTCCGCCTGGCCGTCTGAGGGTCCGTCCGTCCGTCTGTCCGTCCGGCAGGTTATCATCTCCAGAGATGAATGCACTTCAGCCTCCCTGGGTCAGTCTGGCTTTCATACGAAAATTTTCTCAAAGCAAACACAACACGGTGCTGCGCGATTTTTATTTTTTTCTGGTTTAACACTTTGCACTGCAATTGAATCCATGATATGTACAGAGGCCGTCGAAAAAACAATAATGGTGCATGCAGAAAAGAGACTGAAACCCACTGCATTTCGCACACACGAGGCGTCGATTTCGCCCGCGGGAAGCCAGATAAGGCGACAAAAACACTTTTCCACGACTGCCTTCCATATTTCGCACGCACGGGGCAGATTAGCAGCCGTGAATGTCTCGAAACTGATCCGATCATTGAGAGAGAGAGAGAGAGAGAGAGAGAGAGAGAGAGAGAGAGAGAGAGACAAATAGACAATGCGACTGGAGGCGCCAAGGGCGACGCGCGGCAGCGAGGAGGAGCACAGCGGAGCGTGCTTTGTTGACGTTCGGGGAAGTCCAACAACATCCTCTCATCTCCCACACCTCTAATAACGCGCTCGCAGCCTGTCACATCGCAGCGATCAATCTGCAGCGCTTTGAGGCAGAAGGGCCTGCCGCCCCCGGACTGCCGCCCCCGGACTCACTCCGTCTCCGTCGCACCCCCACGGCCCGCCGGGCCCGCCCCTCGAGGGCGAGAGAGACAGCGCGACGAGAAAGCACCGTTCGGAACGAGCCTGCTGGGCGCACAGTGGGCCAGAAGACAGTTGGAGGCGGCCAAAACTCTAGTCGCGTTTTGAGCTCCAGAGTCGCTAAATGGGACTCGAACCGACCGTGTGACCCCACCAATGGATTCCTCGTTCGGATAGCAATCCATTGGTGGGGTCACACGTCCGGTTCGAGTCCCATTTAGCGACTCTGGAGCTCAAAACGCGTCTAGCCGCCTCCACCGGCTTCTGGCCCACTGTGGGGCGCCCCCGCCCGTCACCCGGCCCTGCAGCCCTTTTCCGGGAACAGATCAGTGTGTGACCGCACCTGACCTGCTGACAGATGTGATCGGAAATGTGTTGCCGTCTCTCTCGGGCCTCGGGCAGCGGCAGCCTCGTCCCACAGGAGCTCATCTCGGCTGGGGGTAGATCGAGGGACGGCTTTGCTTTCATAAAAATGTGTGTTTGTTTCGAGTGACACCTGACCCGCTCACTATAATATGCACCTGATGCTTCGCTCGCACAGCTGCCCCTCTCCATCACATGCGACCAGGGGGAGTGCTTTCGATTGGGACCTTGCCTCCGATGCGACGGGATCCGCTTCTCCAGGAACGCCGCGTCGCGTCAAGCGTCAAGTTCGGTCCCGCCGTTTCGGCGAGGGGGGGGGGGGTGTGAAGGATTGCGGAAGGGCGCCGCCGAGAGTCCTTCGACAGCCCTTCCGAAGCCCTTCCGAAGCCCTCGGCAGCGGTTCCCATCCAATCCCATCCAAATCCCAGAACGATGTGGTTTCTCCGTGCAGAGCCTCTGTTGGGACTCTCACCCTCGCAACCCCCGGCCCGTAATTGATTCAATCGCTTTGAAAACACGCAAGGTTTTCTTGGGGCCGCCCCGCCCCGCCCCGCACCACCCCACCTCGTCCACTGTAACAAGGCGTGCTGGCTGCGACTTGGACGTATTTCGACTGCATGGCGTGGCGTGGCGTGTGTGGAGGGTCACTCGTTAGTTGTTGCTTGTTCCAGCCCGTCGTCCGAAACATTTAAAAATGGAATATCTTTTTAAAATAACACCGCGCGGCATTCGGAACCATAACAACCCCCCGGCGCTCTGTCTTTTGTCCGACTCGCTTCGCTAAAATCCGTCTGGTCCGCGGCCTGGTTTCGCCGTGTTTCGCCCGGGGGGCCCTCTTTGACACAAAAGCAGGGCGTGTTCGGAAACAAGTTCAAAACGACCGAGCGGCCGGCCCGCGCCACGATATAACAAGGCCCCCGCACTGCCCCTGTGCGCGGTGGGGCGGGGTGGGGCTGGGTGGGGTGGGGTGGGGCGTTGGCGGCGACAGCCAGGACCCTTTGTGTCGAGTTTGCAAACGTCACAGGCGCAGCGCTGCGGAGTTTGGGCAACATCCCCCCTGACCGTCTCTGCCTGGCCCCCTCTCTCTCTTTCCTCCAGGACCTTCTGACCCGACGTCCTGCCTTCCCGGTCACTTGAGCCCCATTTGGCGCCACACACACACACACATACACACACACACACACATGATGGATGAATGGGCCGGCCTGCTTTTAATGAATGAATGAGTAAATGGACGAGTGGCGCCGCGTAGCGCCACGCTGCGACCCCTGACCCGACCCTGCGGGCTGAGTCCGAGTAACTTCGCCGCTCTGTCTCTCTCGCACCCCCGGGCCGTTGGGCTGGGGCGCGACAGAGCGGCGACCCGCAGGCGTGGGCGGCCAGGGCGTCCCGCGAACCAGAAGAGGGCTTCTGCGCCGGAACTGCTTTTGGTTCCGTCCGCCTCTTCCGCACACTGTATCACTCTGTGTCGTTGCTGTTCCCAGGTCGGGAGGGTCCAGGCGGCGGTCCAGCTCGCGGCCCGCCAGGTCGGCGCGATGAGAAACAGCGCGGCAGTGTAGGAAGGCGTCGTGCGGCGGCGTCAAGTAAGTAAGTGTGAGATGTTTGTGGCCGTCATGAAGAGCGACATGCATAGTACAATTAGCCAGCAAGTGCCGCTCGCGTGTGCTGCCGTGTCTCAGTGCCGTTGCCGCGCCGTGCCGTGCCGTGCCGTGCCGCGCCGACCAGCACCGCGGCCCACAAGCCGGCCAGAGCCGGGCGACATCAAACACGACGGTCGTCATTTGTCTGCAGCACCCAAGCCGGCCGACCGCGGCCCGCCACTCCCTCTTTGAGGACATGCAGGACATGCTTGCGGTGGGGCGGCCCCACTGGGGCCCACGCCGCGGTGTTTGTGAACGGCGCGTGTGTGGGTGCTGCCTGTAAGTAAGCGCCTACTTTACAGGGCCACTTTAGACGCGGCGCGGGGCAGCGGGATTCACATCGGCGGCGGGCCGGCGGGCCCCTATCCTATCCCTGTCCAGCCGCATCATGAGGGACCCCCAGCCGCACGCCACGGCCACGGCACGCCACGGAACGCCACGCCACGGCACGCCACGCCACGGCCTCTCAGGTTACGGCGGAGAGTAGACCCAGATCGAGAACGGATTGGGGATCGCCGGCCGGCGAGCCGCTTTCGCAGTGCTTGGTTGTGCTTGACTGTGGTAGGCTATGCTTGGCTGTGCTTGGCCCTGTTTGACTGTGCTTGACTGTGGTAGGCTGTGCTTGGCCCTGTTTGACTGTGCTTGACTGTGGTAGGCTGTGCTTGGCTGTGCTTGGCCCTGTTTGACTGTGCTTGACTGTGGTAGGCTGTGCTTGGCCCTGTTTGACTGTGCTTGACTGTGGTAGGCTGTGCTTGGCCCTGTTTGACTGTGCTTGACAGTGCTAAGGCCGTGCTTGGCCGTGCTTGACTGTGCTTGACTGTACTTGGCTATGATTGGCCGTCTTTGCTCTGCTTGGCTATGCACCGCAGCCGTCCCTCCGCCAAGTCGTTTCGGCGCGGTGTTGGCGGCCATAACTACGCGCGGGCCGCGACAGTCCACGACAGCGTCAACGGGCCGCTGGGTGTCAACACGTTTACACGAGTTTGTCGTCGGAGCCTTGTAAAGCTTGTAAAACGCACTGGCGGGGCTGCGTGCGAGACGAGGCGCGCGAGGCGCTGCGTGTGAAGGCGGCGGCGGCGCGGCACGGCCATCGGCACGGCGCCCCGGACGCAGCCCGCCGCCGCCCCGCCCACCGCGAGATGGTGTCGCGGGGCTTAGCGAGCAGCAGCTGTGTGCGGCCGGCCTGGCGGGGCTGGCCAGGCTCACCGCCAGCCGCCATGAATAACAGTGTCGTTCCTCGGGCGCATTTAAAATACCCCGGTATAAATACGGAGACTTTGAAACAAATTTGCCCCGTGTGTGCGTGAGAGCGTGTGGAGGTGTTGGGCTTGTCGAGAGCTGCTCGGCGCGTCTCCGAGAGGAGGAGAAGACGATCATGGTGATGACTCCACACTACAGGCGATCGTAAAACTCGGCCGCCGGAGGAGCGAGGAATTCATTAGCCAGTCAACCTTCAGCTCGAGCTTCAGCTGCTGTTTCTTGGCTCTGTGGTAGGTATGGTAGGGAGTGGAGTCGATGACGCCCCTGTCTGCCCTTGCGTGGATTCCCTCGGAATGTAAAATCATTGTCTTTATAGAGGGCCCGAAGTCCTGGAACAACGAAACTAGACCACCGGGCGGAATGATTATTTGCGTTTTTCTTATAGTTCATACCGTTTCAAAAATTTATTAGTTCAATCTTAAAGTTTTATCTTTTTCTGAAAATTCTCGTTTCTGATTTTAGAATGTATGGGGCTCAAGTTTTCATTTGCTTTTCTTTCCTTTTTTGGCTGTGCTTTTAAAGACTTTTATTTTGGTTTCGTTATCATTCCTTATTTCTTTGTCCGAAAACGTGTGAGGTGTTGTCTAACTGTTCCATTGATTGTCCCATGGTTTGGTTTCATTCATCTTCTATTTCCATTGAATTTCGTTCACTTTCATTCATTCTCCCTCATTTCATTAAGTGTTTTGGTGTTTTTTTTTTTGTTTTTTTCATTTGATCTTTTAATTTCATTTCCTTGTGTTATTTTTTCATTTTCCTTCAATTGTTCATTCATTTGTCTCATTTGGAAATTAGTAGTTCAATAATGACACCAGAAAGTAAGTTTTAAAAATTGGATTTATTCATCTCTCCTCTCCTTTTCTCCCAACTCATCGAAATCATCAACATTCACAATAAAATTCTTTAACTATTTACAATAAACCTTTATCATTGTAGAATATTACATATTATCTTTGGCGAGGAAAACAAACGCGCGTTCTCAGTTATAACGCTCGATAATTTGCATGAACAACGCAAAAATGCACAGTACTGTACAGTGTTATCAAGTACCCTGACGCATAAACTGGCCTGATATTGCCAGATAAACTTAAACATAACGCGAAATATTACAAGAGATTGAACAAATGCGCAACGGGAGAAGTCATTCATCTATGAGCATCAAATTCAAGACAGGCAGATGCGTCCGAGAGGCAGGGTCTGCACTCAACTTAGTGCACAAATACAATTACAGGAACACGCACTCGGCGCGGTGATTTGACTACAACATTAGCTCAAACGAGATCAACAAAACGTCTATTCTCACTACCACCTAAATGCTTCCATTCTCACTACAAATGTCTCTTATTCAACCTAGTATTCACAGTTCGACACCGGGAGAGCGGGGTCTCTGGCTCACTGCCGCTCTCCCAGTCAGTAACACACAAATGCGAGCAGCGGGCTGCCCGGATCACAGACTTGGGGTTGGACGGCGGGGTCCTGGTCATCGCAGTGCTGGGGGCGACGCGGCGGGGGCGCCGGGCGACGTCGTCAGGTACTGGTGGTGGTGGTGGAGGCCGGCGGGGTAGGGCGCGGCCCGCGCTTGCTGCTGCATCTGGTGCTGGAACAGCTGCTGCTGCAGCAGGAGGCCGCCCCTCCAGTCCGGGAAGCCGGGGGCGTTGGGGGCGTTGGGGGCGGGGCCTGGGCCCGCGGTCCTCATGGGCGAGGAGGCCGCCAGCATGGAGAAGATGTGCTGCTGCTGCTGCAGGTACGGGTGCGGGGCGCCGCCCATGGCCATAGCGCCGGGCAGGCCGCCGGGCAGGGCGCCGGGGTACACGAAGGGGAGCAGGCCGAGGCCAGCACGCCGACGGCTGCGCGACGGCGGCACGCGGCGGCGCAGCTTGCCGGTGGAGCCGCCGATGAAGACGTCGTCCGCGCTGGGGTCCAGCATCCAGTAGTTGCCCTTGCCGGGGTCGTCGTAGTGGCGGGGCACCTTCACGAAGCACTTGTTGAGCGACAGGTTGTGGCGGATCGAGTTCTGCCAGCCCTGCTTGTTGTCTCGGTAGTACGGGAAGTGCTTCATGATGTACTCGTAGATGCCGTTGAGCGTGAGCCGCTTCTCGGGGGAGTTGCGGATGGCGAGCATGATCATGGCGTTGTACGAGTAGGTGGGCTTCTCGGCCTTCTTGGGGCCTGGCTTGTCGCCCTCCTCGGAGCTCTTGGACGCCTCCTCGGCCTGCTCGCCGGTCACGTCCAGCTCGGACTCGCAGTCGCTGGGGGGCGGCGAGCTGGCGCCGCTGGCCGCGGAGCTGGGCGCGGGGCTCGGCGTCGTGGGGGCGTCGCTGGGGGCAGTGTCGTCGCCGTCCTCGTCGTGGCCCAGCAGCGCGCGGATGCTGAACTTGAGGGGCGCCTTGTGGGCGGGCGGCGCTGCGCTCTCCTCGCTCACCATGGTGCACATCACGTCACAAACACAGTCACACACACGGTGTCAGCACGGACACAGAGCTGTACCGACTGTCCCAGAGCTTGGCTGCTGACTGACTGACGACGAGCCCGATGGACTCCTTCTCCTTCGCCCAGGAGTGGCGACCGTCACGCCTCTGCCGGCGGCGGCCAGAAGCACGGCGTCGACCAATGGGAGCGCGCGCCGGGCTGGCCGCGGTGGGGGAGAGCATCCTGCGCCGCCTCCCGCGCCGCACAGCGCTGCCCCCTCCACCGAGGCCGCCACCACCACCGAGCAGGCCCTGCAGGCCCTGCAGTCCCTCCCCCTGCCACGCCGAGGCCGCGGCGTGGAGTAGAGAAACATTTCAATTCAATCCGGGCCAGCACACTGCAAATCACACCAGCAGCCGGCGGTGTCCCGGCCGGCCCGGCACCAGGGGTTGTTGGCCTATTTATAAAATATTGTACCCCGCATTAGCCATAGCCGAGGGGTTTGAGAAGCGGCGCGGGGCGGGGTGGGGTGGGGTGGGGTGGGGCGAGGCGGGGTGGCGGGTGGAGGACGGGTTGACGCAAGATGTCGCTTTGTTTTTGACGTGGGGTGGCTGCGGTTTCGATACGTTATGCATACGGCCTGGCTGGCCTGGCCTTTCATCTGGCTCCCCTTCACTTACACGGTCCTCGCTCCACTTCGCTCCACGCGCAGGGCCGAGTGATTGTTTGCTTCTTATTTACGAACTTTTTTAACTTTCTTATCCTGTCCATTTTTTTCTGCTTTTTTTTTGCTGTCTTCACGACGTACACTTTTTCCCGATTCAGCCCAGAGTGCAACAACCTTTCGCAGCAGCCCGAATGGAGAGAGGGGCCAGTGGTGCACAGTGGTGCAGCTTCGGGGAAGAGCAAGGAGGAGCTCGGTCCGTAGAACAATACCGCTACAATTTTTCTCAGGTGCAGCGTGCCTTGGAGCAGCCTTCTCGACGGGAAATTTATAAAAAAAGAGCATAAAAGACTTTGGTAACTTTTTCCTCTTCTCCTGGAAAAAATCTCATCCAATGCATGTCGTGGTAACGATTTTTTTTTGTTTTCAATTTTGAGCCGTCTCCTTCTTACAAACAATATAGTGGTCACAATTTCCTTTTTGATTAACCGTATGAAAATCTTCTATTTACCAATCTCAATTTTTTTACAAGTATTTTTAAAGGTGAGAAGCGGTGCTGAAGACCACTTTTAAAAAAAGTGTCCACAACCCTAAATTGCGCTGGTAAGGCGGCTGGGTGGCGGCGTGGGTAGCGGCTATCTCTCGGGAGCGTTGACCCGAGACTGCGATTACGGCGGATTGATCGGCGAGGCGGCCAAGACAAGCAGCACTCCGCCCCGGGCGGGGCACCACAGTGCACCACCCAGTCCGACGCCACTCCGTTGCTTTTCCACTCTGCACGAACCATTACCGAAAATCGATGCGATCGAACGGTATCGGCCGAGATCTCGCTCTCGACGACGCGGCGACACCGAGGTGCCAGCGTGCCAACACGCGCTGCGGATTAGCAGTGGAGGCGTTTTCGGAAAAGCGAATCGCCGGGCCGGCCATAGCGGACTGATTCCGGGAGTCGCTTTCGTCGCTCCGTGCCTCTCGCACCTTCACGGGACGTCCCGTGAGTGCGAGAGAGACAGAGCGACGAAAGCGACTCCCGGAATCAGTCCGCAGGAAAACCCCTCGAGACGCGTTCTGCGGAAGGCGAGTGGAGGGGCGAGGGGCGCTTCATCGCCTGCCCGGCCTGCTCGGCGTGCTCGCGGTGCTGAGACACGCTGAGCCGGCCGAACACGGTGGCGGGTATTCTCCGGGACAATGGCCGTGATTCAAAGGTTTGCGCATGAAACGAGGATGGGGCGCCTGGAGCTTTGTCTCTCTCGCGCGCGTGCGGAACGCCCAACGAGTGCGAGAGAGACAGGAAGCGCTCTCTTCGGAAGCAGCCTGGAGCTACTGCACCCTGCATGACATCGACCCCGGCGGTACCCCGGCAGACCGACGCAGACCGAGGCAGACCGGAGGGCTCCGGCGCTGCGGCCGGGGCAACGACCGCGGACCAATGAGCGGGCTCGGACAGCGCCGCGGAAAACGGCGCGGGAAAACTTGGAAAACTCGAGCGCATCGTTTCCCGCGCGGTTCGGCTCTTCGCACCAAGGGCGCCGCGGAGAACTGAACGCGCGCGGCGCGGCCGTGTTTCCCAGATGGATTTGTGTCCCATCATCGGCAGCCCCGTGTCTGCGGCCGTAATATTTCACCGGCCCAGCACGATAGAGGCTGTTGATGAAAACGCAAATTGTCATAACGACGCAGTGGAGAAGAGGAGAGAGATGCTATCTACAAAGCCGACAGAAGCCTCTGTGTGTGAGTGAGTAGAGGATGCTGGGGTGGAGTCCGGTAGGAGGGTCAGAGGGGGAGGAGCCGGAGCTTCGACTCTTGTGGAACCTCACGTTGCCGCAAAATGTGTCGGCATCTGACTTCTGACTCGGGCCAGGCGATTTTGTCTTCATTTATTTTGGACTGGTCCCCCTTTTGTCCAGGCTGGGACGGGCTGCTGTCGCGGGCAGGCCGTCGGGGGGCGGGCGGGGGCGGGCCGGCGGCGTATCGGCACACACAAACGTCCCGACGACAAGCTTGTTGGATATAGGGGATCGTCCCCGTGTTTTCTTTCGACTGGAAAAAAAATACTAACAATTCCCTTGTGGCCTAGTGGCGTACGAAAGGTGCCAAAATAAACGTGGTCCTTCCCAGTAGGCGCGGGGCGGGCTAGAAACACCACCACACTTATGCATGCATCAGGCGGGGCGGGGGTGTGGTGGTGGCTTGGCGGCGGCGGCCCGGCCAGACAGAGACCAACAGTGTTTTCGCAGCCGAACTGCGAAGTGCGTTCGGGTTCCGAGACTTGGAACGGCGGCTGGTTGTTGAGCGCCAGCTGGTCGCGCGGTTAGGTATTGCCTTTTCTCCATACTCGTTCGCCGCGACGAATGCCGCGAGATGGTCCACGCCGAGCCAAGCCAGCCACACACGTATGTATGACTCATTCCCTTTTTGCGCCAGCAGGGACTCATCCACCACTTGACGTTTGGCACGGCCGTCACCGAGGCCGTCACCGAGGCCGTCGAAGAGACCGTCACCGAGATGGCCCCTTTGGGAGGCCGGGGCACGCCTGAACGCGCCACAGCGGGACACAAACCGATCGGCAGATTCGTCACCGCAGCTCTGGGGCCCCGACGCCCCGGCGTCGATAATAGAAAAGTCAGAGTCGGCCGGGGGGGGGGGGGGGGGGGGGCAGACGACATGATCCCTGTCGGCGCGCTCCTATGTGACAACATTATAGGCCGGCGGCGTGCACCGCGCGCCCGCACACTCACACAGACACACAGACAGACACACACACACACACACACACACAGAGACAGACACACAGACACACACACACACACACACACACACACACACACGACGTGCGCTGTGCCGAAGGCGGCAAAAGCCCGGTGGGTGTCGCGTCCACGGGGCCGGGCCCGCCACTGGCCCGCCACTGTATCTAAGGGCAGCCGTCGCCATGGTTACGAGGGTATCGGGGCGGCTAGCTCGGCTGGCTGCGTCATACTGCGTCCCGGATGGTCCCGGATCGGGGGCGGGGGCGGATACGGCAGGTTGAGCAGGACGGGGATGACAACGGGCTGCGTGTGTGTCGAAACGGATCGTCCCGTAGGTGCGAGGGAGACAGAAATGAAGGCATCCGCCGCGTGTGTGTGCGTCCACTGAGAGGTAGAACAGGCCAGATAATGAGAGACATCTTTATCTTTGCTTCAATTTATCGTCACACACACACGCACACACACACTTCCAGCAGGGTTGTGTCATAGAAAGAACGCCGTCATGATTGTCAACTAATTTCACGCGTTGTCGTCGGCGAATGATAACTTTTCCCCGAACGTTTCGGTGCGCGACGCGGCCGCGTAGTCGACAGGCCGAACGGGCGGCCGTTCGAAGAAGCAGCCAGGCAGCCAAGCGGCCCACTGGGCCTCCTGGCGGATTAAATGTTGTGATGCGGCGCGCCGCGCTTGTCCGTCATCGGCGCGACGTATCATCGCGTCGACGTGAACGTGGGGGACGTGGGGGCCGAGACGACGACGGCGTCCTCCACCGCCACCCTGATGACTGCTGCGCGCCACCATCCAGTGTCGCCGAGTTCGAAAGTGCAGAGCAGGGAAACTTTGAAACGCCAAGAAAAGGGAGCAGTTTTAGGAACCGCGGCTGCCTCCATCTGCCGTCGCCACCCTTGCACTACTGTATCACCCTCCCCTCGGGGCGTGGCGGGGCGTGGCGGGGCGCGGCGGGGCGCGGCGGGGACCGGCCGGGAGCGCGCTGCGGCGACGCCGCTCAGGGCCGGCCCCCCTTTGATTGGCCGCGAAGGGGTGGGTCCAGCGGGCAGAGCGGGCAGAGCGGGCAGAGCGGGCACCTGGCGGCGGCCTCGCGCAGCAGCGTCAACGCCACACCGCCAGCGCGGCCTCGGCGGCCTCGGGGGTGGCACCGCCGCACCGCTGGACCGGACCGACTGGACCCTCTGGACAGTCGATCAAGTGACACGATGGACTGCGACTCACTACTCGCCGACAATGAGAGCGCGTGCGTGCGCGCGCGTGTGTGCATTTAGCGGGTGATGCGCGCTAAGCCTCGCCACTCGGCGCGCGCGCCGCGTGTCGGACGGCGTCGGACGGCCGGACACGGCGTCGCGCCGCGTCGCGCGTGCACACTGCGGGAGGCCTCCGCGACAGACGCGCTCGCCATCCCATCCCCGTACGACAACCGCGGGTTCGAATACCAGCCAAACCCTCCGCCTGTTTCTGCCCCGCTTCCCCAGAAAGGGTGGCGGCAACGCCATTCCGCCGGTCGCAACGTCGTAACTCATCCGCCGGCGTGTTTTACCCGAATTTCACGCCTCGTTAGCATAGGCGACCCCGGCCGGGGCGCTCAGGGGCCACGCAGGGGCCGACCGGGGCCAAAGGGGGCCCGGCTGTCGCGGCTGTCGCGGCTCGAGGTGCCTGTCTCCGACCC